GCACTCAATCTAGCTGACTTCTCCAGGAAAAAGTAAGGACTTAATCCCCACACCACAAGCTACTAAAATGAGGCAAATGCATCAGCAGAATATACAGAAGGTCACTGCTAAGATGTATGGTTTTCATTCAAGCTTATCTGGCATTCACACATACATCTTCAGTAATGTACACTTAGCACAGGGGCTGCTTTTTCTGAGTTTATGGACAGTGACTTAAATCCCATTACCTCCAAGAGTGTTTAAATCTCTGTCTACCTTTAAGCAAGGGGACTCCCTCTGGACTATGTTTTGTTCTATACACAGCTGGATCAAAGTTGCTGGTAAAGGACATGAAGCAGGCAGTGCCTCCCTGCTGACATATTCCAAATGGCAATCTGGCTGCATTTGACTTCTGCCTACAGTATTTTAAGAGTCTTTATGAACTAAAACCAGTGTCCACCAATTCTTGACAGCTAAAGCAATGCATGTGAAGTAGCAGTCCTCACTCTACACTGCTGCCAATAAAACAGAAAATCATGCCCATAATATCTGTCACAGTGATTATCTGTCCAGAAATGCAGATGTTTCCTTCCTTCTAGTGGGGCTTGCACTGCACAATGAATACAAGGGGTGCTGGAAGCAGGAAGAAGTAGTATAGACAGTACCACTCACACAAATCATTATATGTGAAAGGAGTTACGTGATTTATGCACAATCTGATATTAGGAAAAGTCAGTATTTAAGGCAGGCATCCCAAACTTATCCTATCTAGTTCTTGCCATTTCTCGTATTCAAGGCAATAAAAGTAGCACATTAAAAGGGATCAGCACAACATATAATATAGAGTTGGAGCTACTGTGTGTTCTGTTCATCTTCACAGCATTCTAGTCTGCAAAATGCCGGTTTCTACAGCAAGAAATCTCTCTCTCTTCAAACACAGCATGATTCAAATTCTGACAAGTCCTCCTCTTTTCCATAGGTTTTCCTCTCCTCTTTTTCGTCTGAAAATGCCTCAAACCCTTGGCCCTCAAGTCACCCAGTAATAGAATGACACCCAGCAGAGCTTCGTGAAGTTCACTGTCTCCTATTTCAATCCGGTTTCCCTATCTGTTTGAAGAGGAGGTGATATGCTGCAGTACAACATGGGAGTCAGATGTTCCTTCACCCTTTGTTTTCACACACAAACTTAAGAATAAATAAACAATGCCCACCAAAAAGATTATAGCTAAACTCCCCCGGGGCCCATTTCAGGTCCTCCACTTCCAGCTTCTTCCTGGGAAGTCAAACACATTGGTCATGATGACAGAAGTCCAGAGCTCTGATCCGGTTTGGTAAAGAGCATTTCTAGCGTAAAATACAGTCATGAAATCACTCTGATTGTCTTCATTTGGTGAACTGTCACACAGTTCCTGTGAACAGGAGCAGCAAAGTGACCAATCAGCCTGGCTACACACCTATGTCAATGTCTGCTGATGCAGCAGGGTCAGAGGTACAAAATATCCCCTTGCTGTAACTTCTGTGGAAGAAGCAGAAGCTTTAAACCCTTAGGTTTCTTCTTGCTATTTTCTTCTTGTCTTACACAGCTAATCAGCATCATGACCTCTCTATGGGTTCTGTCACTGTCAGACAACAAATGGAGTGACTGTCATACAGAGTGTTGAAAGGTCTGAGAAGTACAAAAAAAAAAAAAAAAAAAAAAGCCCACAGTAGCAAATTGGTCAAATAAGCTTATATTTTCCTGGACCACAGTCTCCACTGCTAATGAAAGGGTCAAGGATTTTTCCATTTAGGGGCCAGGGATTTGGAAAGACACATTTCAAGCTGGTCAAACTCCAGGCATAAAATGCTGCCAACACCAACAGCAAAATCCCAGTGCTGGCAGTACAGCAGAGGATGACCTTCCATTGCACAGAAATAGCAGGCTTTTGCAGACCCCCTTTAACAACAAGTCAGGGAAAGGACACATTCTACTTCAGCAATACAATAACACGTCAAACTGATTCCACAAAACTTAGATCTCCTAACCACACAGACTTCAAAACAAAGCACCTCTACCTCACATAACTGCCTTTTCTTGCTTGTTAACTTAGCTCGCCTACCCTTCAAAACACCTTGCTCCCTTCTTCCCCTCTGACTGGCAAAACTGCAAGGAAAAGCAAATCCTGTCATCCTATGCCATTAGAGACAAGGGTAACATCTTCAAAGTTTGCTTCAAAGGCGATGGGAAAACTCGCACGGAAAGTGTCCTCCTAAGGCTACGGTTACTGCTAATTAGCAGAGAGTGAGACCTCCTCTTCCTCAATAAGGTGAGTGAGGAGGCAGGAGAACCATGATGCTTCTCTTTCAGTACCTCCTCTGATCACTCCATTAGGACACAACCTGGTCCCAAAGTCCTCACATGCTTCAGAGTCCTGCATAGTCCTATCCAGCAGAGAAAGGTCAAAAGCACCCCACCTGCAAACCAAATCCAGGCTGTTAGCTATCATAAGCTCTGGCCTAAGCCCCACTTTGGTGCTGGACACTGGGAAGAGAAAATTACATACCCATTATGCTCAGTCGAGGACACCTAGTTGGCCCTCAGCCTCTGTGAGTTGTCACCAGCTGAGATAGTTGAAGGGTTAAACTATCATAGCTGTAGGTGGTCTGCAAGCAGTATCTATAGCAAGTCTGATTCTCTGTAAATTAAGGGGGACCTTACTGAGAAAATTGCAGTACTTTTTTTTCTTTCTTCCAGGAGTGCCAGAAGAGATTTTGAAAATGGGATAAAAACTATTCAAAAAATCTTATCAGACAGCCAAATGAATTCAGAGATGTTCCGGGAAAAGCCGCATCAAACTAAAATCAAAGAGCCATGAAATCCACACAAAGGTCTCCCTGAAAGTGAGGATAATAAAAAGGTCACTAGCAGATCACACCATGTATCCTAGGCAAAGCACACCTGTCAATCACTAGAGGTTTGGTGCTTTGCTCAGTTTGAGCATCTCCCTTTGGATGTCAGAACTGGCATACAAAAAGAGTTCTGGCCCCATAATTAAGGAAACAAACTATAACTTCTAGTCCTTGACTTGCTGTACCAGTGTGGCCAGCTTACATGGTTTACATCAGCTTGGGCTTTAACTCTTGTGAGAAACGAGTGTCCAAAACGACCTTTACTTTCCATATTACATTTGCACTGGGAGATCCTGTTTTTCTTCATTGAAACTATTTCTAATTTAAAACTAGGACTCTGCTTAATGAATTAGCATTTCCTGGATTTTACCACTCTGCAGAGACTTCTCCTTTATTGAGTAAGTGGGCAAGTTCCAGACACATTAAGTCAATCTGGCAGAAGAGCTGGTGCCCTGGGCAGCATCTTGAAAGGCATCAGGAACTCAGACTTCACAAAAAGATGCTTTTCGAATTTGCATTCTCAGCAAGTCCTATTATCATACAATATCAATCCTGACTGGGGTATGCAACACTATATTAGAATGAATGTCTGCCCAGAGTGAATGCTGTTAAGCACGGGCACACACTGCTTCCAACACAAGGTTAAGTCACTAAGCTGCAAAAGAAGACACGCATCTCAGCTGATACTCCTTTGCTGCAGCCCTCCTCCCCCTGCCTTTAACTGCAGTCTCTAAGCAGTTATTTCCCTTTAGTGGATTCATGGATCTTCAGCTGCAGTGGCTGTATCTCCAGTTTGCAGGTACACTTGTCCATTTCTGTGCAAGCAACCTTATTAATACTATAGTGAATAGTGCAAAACCTGCATGTCTCAGAACTACTTCTCCTTCAAAACACGCACCGTAGAGTAATGAAACATAACACTGCTACCACACAAACTGTTATCTTCTCACATAGAGGTCTTCATATATTTCTATTTCATGCAACCAAATTAGTCCCTTTTTCTCCAATTTTATCTTCCTATTCAAAACACACCAGCTAAAACTTGGGTTGCTTGGTCTGTTCTCAACTGTGAGAGTTTTGATCCCCTGGTGAAAAACACCCACCACTTGCAAAGATGAGAACACTTCTTCCATGCCAGAGAGTCCTGCAGTACATGCTGAAGTTGTATATGACATCAATATCACCACACATTAAACATTCACAAAGTTCCACAACTCTACAGTTTATTCAAAGGAAAAACAATGGAAAACGCACACATGAAAAACAGTACAAGAGAGAATGACTTCCTCTGAGGCCAACTATTCCAGTTCCCAGTAGCAGCCAGCATTGCCCCAGTGACAACATTGCCTAGACCCAATGTTCAGGTCAAGCAGCCTAGAAAGGCAGCAAAACTGGCAGAATGAAGAAACCTTATTCCTAAATGCTTATGTGTTATTTTCAATTTCCCACACAGACCTTTTCTGTCTTCCACTATTAGGTTAAAACAATCCATCATACATGGAAGCTAAGATACTGAAACACATAGAAGTTTGGCCTCAAACCCAGGTAGGGTGTGGGGGGGCACTTTACTACTGTTTCCCTCCTTATTGTGCCAACATTCTTATTAAAAGTAACTCTCAAAATACCAGGTGCAAAAATTTCTACTCTGGGCGTTTTTTGTTCAAGATTTGGCCAGTGTTTGGGGCAAAGATGAAAAGAGGGCTTACACACACACACAGACAAAATGCCACTCTTTCTTTGGGTTTACTCTGCTGATACCAGTCTGCAGCCTTTATAATGCCAGTCTCAGTGGCATGGCATGAAGCAAAGCAAGACCTGCACACTGTACAGCAGGATATGCAGTCAGTTGGTAGGGTGCCAGATGAGGCATGACCCAGGGCCTGCACACCTTGTGTGGGAAGCCTCTTCTCTGACATGGGGCTTTGGTCTCTGCTTGTTGCTGCCCTCTCCTGCTCACACTCTTCAAACACTTTGCTCTGGGATCATGAATCAGTGACAAGCATGCTCTTCCAAGTCCTCGAAGAGCTATTCCAGCTGCAGACCCCACCACTGTAGACCATGCCCTCTCTTGCCAGATGCAAAGGGGAGGGGTGGGAGGGATTCAAGGCTCCTTACATGCCAACCACACTTACCTCCTAGAGCTTGTTTCATAACAAAATCCATGATGAGGGCTTTGGGCTGCTCCCACCTTCACACCTCACATGCACAGAGACCAGGAATTCTTGGAGGGCAGCCTGCAAAAAGGCACAATCAAAAGAGGACTAGTGTCTCTAGGAAAAGAAAAGGCTGATACCCGGTCTTTCTCAGCTCTCTCTCCACAGCCTTCCCCCCCTTGTCTGAGAGCAGACAACTTTTCAATTCTCCATCCCTTCAGGCCCTGTTTTGCACGACAAGGCACCTGAGGAGCAGAGCTGCATGCTGGTGAGCGGTCACCGGGTGGAAGGAGGCAGGGGAATGCAGTAGTTCCTCCAGACAGGGCAAGTGGCCGGGAGCAAGCGTGGAGGAGCAGTGCGGTGCCCCTCCAGGCTTGTCTCCTGCAGACGGGCAGGAAGGGGTTAAACCTTTGAACTTTCTTGTTTCCCCGCCTGCCTCTCGCCCTCTCGGCTTTCGGAGGGCTTGCTCCGGAGTGTCAGCTCCGCCGAGGACCGCCGAGGGGGCATTTGAAGGTGAAGCGCCCTGCGAGTGCCTGGGAGGACAAGCGGAGGATGCCGGGGCGATCTGGGTGCGGACGCAGCCCGGGTGGCGGGATGGAAAGCTCAAACGCGGGGCAGGGCCCCCCGCCCGAACCCCTGGGAAAGCCCCCCCAGCGCAATGCCAGCGAGGGCTGCAACCTCCGCAGGATGAGCCGGGAGGGCTGGAGGCTGAGACCGGCCGGCCGCAGGTGCAGCTCAGCAGCCCGCCGCGCACGATGCTGCCTCCAGCTGCTGGCGCCGACCGCGGCCACCCCGCCCGGCTCCTGCACCGGGTCAACAGCCGTGCCAGCACCCGGGGGACCAGGGCTGTCCCCGTCCCCGTGTGCCCGCACCCGCCTCTCCTCTCTGCCCTCCGGCGCGGCCCCGCGCCGGTTACCTCGCTCGGCGGCGGGCGCGGTGCTGAGACGGGCCGGCGGCGAGTGGCTGCGGCTCCTCTGCTCCCGGGAGGCTCCGCCGGCGCCCGTGAGCCTGAGGGCTGCCGGGGAAGTGCGGGTGCAGTGTGGAGGAGAGGGAATGACTCCAGACCTTCTCCCTACTTTTCCCCCGCGCCCCTCTTTTTATCACAGCATTTCCGGACCATCCCACCGACACGGTCCCTCCTTCCTCCTCCCCTCGTTGCGGGAGCTGGACTGTCTCCCTCCCCCTGCCTCCGGCTCCCCCGCCCCTTCCCTGCACCTCCCTGGCCCCTCGGTGCTCGCCGCGGAGGAGGCCCCCAGAGCTCCCCTAGCCCCTCGGAGGGGTGCGTGTGTTTGCGTGTCCCCCACCCCATCTCCGGCTGTCTGCAGCAGCCAGGTGTCCTTGCGCTTTGCCGTGGGGGAAGGAGGGGAGGTGTCAGCTCGTTGTTGCATTTTGCAATCGCTTCCTTGCATCTCCTCGGGAGTCAGCGTGTGTGCCAGGGGAAATATCTGCAAACACGGCTTCCTGCAAAAGGGAGAGGGTGTGGGAAAGCGTTCTGCGTCCTCTGCTCTGAGTCCTTCACGGGGATCCCCTCTCATTCCCTAGGTCCTGAAAGGAGTTGGAGAGGCAAGGAAGAAGACAGGGAAGGAGCAGACCCTTCTCCTCCCTCCCGCTTCGACTCGGATATACTGTGGCCGGAGAAGAATCGCCGGCTGCACGTCTCTGTGCTTTCGCTAACCAGGCTGGGGGGAGGGAGGGGAGGTGAAGTGGGGCGGGAGGGGGAAAGAGGAAAGTCGCCTCCCTGCTATTGCCGGTTGAAGGACGCGAGTGCAGCGATCCATTGTCCAGCCCGGATTCGGGACAGCATCTGAAGGTGAGGAGGAAGGAGCTGCGAGGGCTACTTGACAGAGTAGAGCAATGCCCTCCCACGGCACCGGCACCCACCTTTAGGGATGCCTACCGCCGGCTTGGAGCAGGGTGGGGAGGGGACGAGTTCTGCTGCTGATCCACGCTCCTCTCCAGCAGGAGAGGTGGGACAACAACCCCCGAAGTAACCTATATGGGTCTGAAAGGAGGGAGGGGGCTAGAGCAGAATGGTGCTGGCAGTAGTGTGAGCCCGGGGATGGGGGAGCAGCGGCGCCTGCATTCTGGGGAGGCGCTGGCACGGCCCGTGGGCGACCTCCTCTGAAGGTCAGGGAGGACGCCGGAGCTGTACCTGGCACCGCTGGGAAAGGCGTGTAGATCCAGCAGGCACGACAGAAATCTTTCCCGGGGCAGCGATGCCGGCCACTGTGGCTCCGCAATCTGCAAAGCTCTTGAGTGCCAGCTGCAGATGCGGGATGCAGTCCATGCTTTTAATCTCAGGACAGTGCCTACCCACCCGGCTCTGCCTCGGTGCCCCATGCCTTTCAGTGTTTAAGAGGCACTTGGACAATGCCCCTTACAAAATGCTTTAATTTTCAATCATCCTCAAGTGGTCAGGCAGTTGGGCTAGATTATCATTTTAGGTCCTTCCACTGAACTGTTCTGCTATTCAGTTCTACGAGCTCTCAGAAAACCACTTTTGCAACAGACTCTGTTGTCAGTCTAGGAAACTCAGCTGGGTAGGCATGTGCTACACTTTTACTAAAAAATTTCAGAAAGAAAAAGTTAATACTAAGAGGGAGTGGAGAACCCTCTTCTTTTAAGCCTTAACTCCCCCAAAGAATTTGCAATTCAAAGGACATAATGCCATATTTTTGATGCTCTCTTTTCCATACATACCATAGGAGTGTCTCAGCAAAAAAATTACTGTGCTCAAGAAATTAATCTAGGAGACTGCTGGAGCTGTGTGCCTGGGTTCCTGTGCAATTAACACAGTATTTGCAAATCTGTGTTGCCTCACTAAGTGCCCATATAACTTTAAGGAGGTCTTATAGTTTGGTTCTGTCACAAAACACCTCACATTCCTTCATCATATGATTGCTGTTGAAGAGAAAGGCAGTGTCCCCACCCCACACTATTAAACCTCCACATGCACACATTGCTCTTATATCCTGGAGTTCAGGAAAGAACAATTCAAATACCCTCAAATACAAGGATTAGAGAAGTGTGGACTAACAGCTAGAACACCCAGTTGCCTAAAATCACCTTTCTTCTTCATGCTTTGGATCATACTGCATCAAGTAACTCCTGTAGCAGCCAGGACTCAGCACAGCCAAATGAGGTTGCTGAGAAATCTCGTGCTTTCTGTTCACAGGCTCCTTACAAGCTTTGCAACAGCAACTGTCCTTCTTTGTGTGCAGAGAATAGTGATGTCATCCACAGGGGCTTTCAGAACCCAGAAAAAGAATGAGCACATTAAGTCCCTGCAAGGTCCGTGAGCTTCTTTTTGACCTTTTTAGAGCTGCTGGTCTCTCTCCACAGCCAGCTGACCCTCCAAAGTTCGAGTACCCATTGTTCTGTCCCCAAACTGCTCCCACTTTTTCCAGATTATACAGCTGCCACAGAAAATCGTGACACATGAGACAGTGAAACCTAACTCTTAACATCAAGTAGTTCACAGCTCCCTCCTCTTCAGGAGAACAAGCCACAGGATCATCAAACCATAAACTCCACTGAGATACTTCTAGTCTCAACTTCAACATCTTTTACCTACCCTAAGCATCAGCTTCCAAATAACTGGAAGGTATCTTCCAGTACCAGAGGTACCACAGGAGGTACCTTCCAGATGAAAACCTAATCACTTGTGAGCCTGATTTGGGTGCCTCCTACCAAGGTGATACCCTGACTTTTCAGTCATTCTAGAGTTCCCACTAGTACACTCCTCACCATATGAGGTTCAGTACAGAGGCAAAAAAGAGCACCACAAAAAAGAGGCGATGTCCATAGATCTGTGTCTCATAAAAGCTTCTGGAGAAGGCAGATACAACCTTTCCTCAGCTTGCTCAGAAATGCAGCTGGACAGATGAACTCATGAGGATCTGTTATGTTATTTGTCTGGAATACATAATCTCTGCTACAATAGAAATAACAACTTGTCCAGCTATGGTAATGATATAAGCAATGCCATATGTATCTTCTTTCTGGTGCTGTATAAAAATACACTGGGCCCATAATAGTTTATGACTATAAATCTGGCATTAATGCAATCTAATAACATTTACTAGAAGGCAACAAATCTCAGAAATAGCAATGTTTTCTCACCTGGGTGAGGGTTAGAGTTTTGTATCTGTACATAGCACCTGTCCCAGCACCATGGACAGAGGAGAACTGCTGCACACACACATGCATGCTCTGACACCTTCCAAACTGCCCAAAATACCAAAGCCACTTCTTATTCTGGTTTGTACTGTCAGATATGCCTGATCCTGCTTGTGGGAAGTCTTGTTCTTCCTTTACAGAACCAGAAGAGTAGGAATCCACTCTGTGACCTTGCTTGGTGCAGATGAAGAGTACAGAAAACTCGGTGCAAATGTCTCCTCCATGGAGCTTTGTCCATGGAACTCAGCCTCCTTCTTTGACCACCAGCTGGGAATCTGTGCTTACAAATGTCTTTGTAAGAAGGTGGAATAAGCCAGTTATTGGTCTTGGTGACACTTTCTATAGAGAAATGGATATCAGGGTCTCCAAAAAGAGGGAAAGCTCTGTTTCTGGAAGAGAAAAAAAATTTAAATGAGTCATGAAGTTTCATTTCAACATCTTTAAATGCAATGTTTGATTATTCAATTCCATATGGTGTTTGGCTGCTAAACTGAAATCAATGCCGTCGTAAGAACGATACCAATAAGAAAGCTCACAGACCAAGTATGAAGGTTATGGAAAATACTTGAGCTGCTGCCCAAAATAAACATACTTTGTGTCTTTTTTCCCCCCTGTCTTATTATCAGTTCTCACTGTTGTAACTGCAGCACTGTTCAGTGCACTGCAGGCGAGACCTGTACAGCAGCAAGATGATTAGCTTTTTATCGATACAGCTACTGAGACAGAGGAGCCAGGTACTTGCTAAGGGTAGTTTGTGTACGGCAGTTGCAATTCATTCAGTGGTTTAGTTCACTGAACACAAATCTACTGTGTGCTTCTTCTTGCTGTCAATTCTTCAGCTGTCAATTCTGTCTGTCAAAACATTTCAGAATTCATATTTTTTTTTTGTCTCTTCGAAAGTACTGCTTTGTTTCTTGCTGTTC